TAGGACTTTTTAGATAACCACATCATTTGCACATCCCAAGGAGAAGTCCCCTTGCTTCTCCAACCCAACTGACCCAACATAAATTTTATACTTAGGTGATTTTATAGCACTCTTAAAGTGTTAGAAGCTTTCACGACCTAGGCGGTGAGTAAGTCCTTTGTGAGAGCTTTCTGACTTCGTTAGTCGTGCCTCTCATTTCATTCCACTCCAGTGACGTCCTCACATCTTTGACAAGTATAAGTCCCACCTCCACTCTTTCTGTCTACATATGTTCATAGTATTAGAGTTTTTTTCTTTTGGACTTAGCGCTACTAGGGTTCCCTTATATCTCGTAATTCGTGGATTGTTGACAAGGGGGTCTCTGATCATGTTGGGTCGACTGCCTCGACGATCAAGTAGACTTGAGGTCCTAATAGATTGGGATGACGGATCTGTAGTATTCTGACATGACTTTCCTACCCGATTAGGATTACTCTACCATTCCTTTGTTTACCCTCTTTAAGCCATATCACTCCCTTTAACGCTTTGTTGATGTCTTCGCGTAGGCCTCGATTGCGGATATGTCGCCGCCATTAGGATAAGATGATTCACCCTCTAACTTATTGCCCGGTTTGGCCTTTGAAACATAGTGTGGACCTTATGGGATGACCGAGTTATTTCATAAGCTCTGGCCTCCGATAAGCTATCATTCGTATGTGATCTTGAGAGCCTCACTCGCTGCCCTTACAGATCGATGCGAGCTTTGAACGCATATGGATGCTTCTTGAAGATAACTTTCTTTCGTGACACATTCTACTAGTCGTTATACAAGTATAAGCAGGATTTCTTTTATTGAGAGTATTCTTGGGCACCCCTCAAGATGTAATTAACCAATGAGATAGTTCTTTTGGGAGTTGCTCTTGACCCTTGAACAATCACACACTTGAATCTCTGGTTGTAGATTGCTTTCGTAGGGTCTTCATTGCAGATATGTTCCAAAACATTTTTGAACAGATCTCATTTCGGATATATGCTCTTGAACTATTAAACAAAGTTTAATCCACACTCTTCACGTGTTTTTTCTTATTTGTCTTCATTGTCGTATGTTCTGTTTTTTTTATCCCTCTTTTGTTCAGATCATTCATATGTTCTGAAAGAGAGATTTACTCAGAAAAAAAGAATGATATGATGCTAGACAAGCTGATGATTCATTCAAAAATAAAAAAAAAGAAAAAGTGACAAAAAAAATATCTTAAAGAAGTCCTCAATATATGTACGATAGAATGTTGAGTACTCAAGGAAAACTTCTAATCCTACAAATAGATGTGGGTTGAGGTAGTTTTTCTATAACTTAAGTTTTTGTTTGATCTACTTCCATCTTTTTTTCTGATAATTTATGCCCAAGGGCAATCCCTTTGTAAATCTTAAGTTGATATTTTTTCAATTCATCATAAGATTAGATTCTTCACACCTTTGCAAAACTCTTAATAGGTATTTAAGATAAGCATCAAAGGATGTGTCAAATGCAGATAAATCATCCATAAAAACTTTTGTCCCCTTTTCTATCAAATCTGAAAAATCATCATCATACATCTCTAAAAAGGCACAGAGGTGTTATAAAGTTCAAAAGACATTATCCTAAAAGCAAAAGTTTCATAAGAACTAGTACATGCGGTTTTATTTTGATCTTTTAGAGCTACAAAAAATTAGTGATAACCAAAAATCCATCAAGAAATAATAATGCAGCTGCCCTACCAATCTATCTAACATCTGGTCAAGAAAGGGCAAAGAGAAATGATCTTTCCTAATGACTTTGTTTAATTTCTTATAATCTATGCATATTCTCCATCACGTGACATGTCTAGTGGGTATAAGTTCTTTTTGGTCATTCTTCGCCACTGTCACACATTTTTTCTTAGGAAAGCAATGTATTGGACTAACCCATACATTATTAAAAATGGGGTAAATGATTCCTGCATCTAACCACTTTGAGATTTTCTTTTTTATAACTTCTTTCATAATAGGGTTTAGCCTCCTATAGGGATTACCTTTATGTTGGTGATTTTCTTCAATCAAAACTCTATACATGCATAATGAAGGGCTTACACCATTTATATCAACTATAGTCCACCTAAAAGCTTTCTTAATATTCCACAATACTCTCTTTAACTTTGTCTCATTTAAATTAGTTAATTAAAAGGAAATAATGATGGACAAAGTAAGAGATTCTCTTAAAAATGCATATTTTAAATATTTTAGGAGAATCTTTAGTTCTAATTCCTGGCCCCTAGGCTGATTATTTTGCACATTCTTGATGATAGGTAGTTTTAGTTCAAATGAGGTAGCTTCTACGATAGAAATACTTAAGTGAATCTCTTCTTTTGTTGGGTAAAATTCCTAAGAGATCTAGGCATGATTTTGGCCATACATATATTTTATTTTTCATGGGATATGTTTGTCATCTCTATTATTTGCCTTTAAAATATTTTAAGTTCTCTGACTTTTTTATAGCACGGTACCAATTCCAAAGTTCCAATCATATGCATGCACAATCAAGACAATTTAGCGAGTGGCTCTAAAATAGTAGATATATCAAGTCAAAAATATATATGCGGTACCAATTCCAAAGTTCCAGTCATATGCATGCACAATCAAGACAATTTAGCGACTAAAATAGTAGATATATCAAGTCAAAAATATATATACTACAAAAAACAAAGCTAATTGTTATACATTCTGAAATGATAAAACACAAAACACAATTTACACAATACTTAAAATGCAGTAAAATAGGTGCACTAAATTAATACTAGAAATAGAAAACACACAACACGATATCTATTTAAATTTTTATCATAAAAAATAATAAAATAACTTTGAAAAAAAGATTTACACTATAGTTTCAAGTATAAATCCTAACTGTTCAACTAAAATTTTATTAAAATTAAAAATTTAACCTCGTTCCCCGACAACTATGCCAAAAGCTTTATACATACCAAAAAGTGTGAAGTGCGGCAATACACATAATTTTACTTATCATCCAAGTAGTATACAAAATTGAGTCAATGTATCAATCCTACAAAGAATGAGCTAACTTCCAAATGCTAAAAAAAATTCTTCTCTACAAATTTTGAATCTAGTATGAATGTTCGAACTGAGAAAACTTTTGAAAATTTCAAACCTAACTTTTGGAATGGTGAAATATAAGTTAAAGAGATGAAAATATTGTGAGATTTTCTAACACTTCAAAAAGTTTCCTGAATTGATTCTATAAGAATCTAAATTCAATTATGTGATTCATATTGTGGGTGACAATCAAGAGGAGTTCTCTTTCTTATCCCCCCTAGGTGTCTAAGAAGATTGGGTAATTATACAAATTTAGTTCCTTAAATCAAGTTATTAACCCAAGTTACCTTATTTCTCTTCATGATTGCACTGACCTAAAAACAATATTCCTATTCTCTCAAATTATTGTAAATTAATGTAGTTGTTCTACTAGCTTGCTCCCGCAAAACTATATCGCAACACATTCGAGCTATAAAGTTTGTCGGATTGCATATCAATGAAGAGAGAGATTAATTCATCAACGCTATAAAATTTTGGATTATTCTCAACAGAAAAGTCAAACCCATAATTCATACATTGCCATTAAAGAAAGAAAAGAGAATCCACTCACTATTCATGCTTGATGATAACATAATGATATTTCATTCATTCAAAAGATTAAGAGTTTGAAATGAAAAGTCATATGGAAATCACCTTGAAGATGCTACTCTTTCCTTTCTTCCTCCTCCAAATGAAACTGAAAATACACGAGCAATTACACACTCAAATCCTCACACACTCTCACTAGTGCTCTCACACACTGGCTTTGCTCTGGAGTGATTTTCTTTTGTTCGATTCTGTCTGATTATCCTCTCGAAGATTTCAAAAAGTGATTTTATCCTTCTCACATAAAAGCTTTTGAACCATCAAAGCAACCAAAACAAATGATCAAGTGCATAGGCGTTGGTCTACGACACCTAGGCGATGGGCTCTAATGCCTAGGCATTACAGGTAAAATGCCACTTTTTCCATTACTTGAGAGTTCATGTTGGGTATTGGGCACTTAGATGCTGGATCGTGGTGCATAGGCTCCATTAAACGAGAGCCTACTTCTTGTCTTTTCAGTATTTGCTTAAATTCATTGCTTGGGCGCCTGAATACCTCTTATCTGAAGCCTAAGTGATGATCCTGTACTTAGCACTTATCTTCATTTTCTTAAGCTCGAATGAACTTTTTCATCTAAATCCCACAAAATACACCAAAAACACTTACCAAAAGCAAAAAAAAAAAAAAAAAAAAAAAAAAAAAAAAAAAAATAAACTATATTAAAATAAATCATAAAGATCACATTTAGAATGCACATTAGTTGTGCCTTTGCTTTTAATGACGTGTTAGGAATGCATTTAGGTTTAAGTTTAGGTTTAGTGGGAGTTTGGTTGTAGGCAAGATTTAGATTTGGTGTTTAGCTACACATATGATTTACATTAAATAGGATTTAGTAAACATGATAACTGGATTTGTCAAATCCAAATGTTGTAAATCCAGAATAGTGTTTGGTTCAGTTTAAGGTTAAATCGATTTAAATTCGTTTAAAGTCTTTGGCATAAAACCATGCATGTGATTTTCTTCAAAGTCTAAATCCATTAAATCCACATAATAATCGGGTCTAGTAAATCTAGATTTACGTTTAAAAAACAACGAAACAGAGAGAATTAGATATAGTGGAGTTCTATATTTAGTTTCCCTGTTTTTCATGTTTGACTAGATTAATGTTATATCCAAACATAAATCTTATTTAAAGTATGCTACCAAACACCCCCTTAGTAGGATTTAGTAATCTGTCTTATTTGCCTATCTAGACACGAAATTCTAAAAGTTGGTTTTCATTTACATTTTAGAAATTTATGTTGGATGGACTATTTATTAGATTTTATATGTTATGTATGATGATTTCTATTTTTTTTTTTCACTGTCGATACATGTTTCTTAATCGATTTTATCAAATTTTTGATTGGTTTGATTTTCTGATTTTTTTTTTTTCGGTTGCAACCGATTTGATCCATCCCAGCCGGCCGAATGCTCACCCCACCTCGATTCCTCGAGTTCGTTCACTACTATCGGCTGTCATCGTCGATATTCCCACAGCATTGTCTTCAAGTTCGTCGCATCAACCCCCGCCAGCAGGTTCTTCGATTCCTCCTTTCCTTCCGCCATGGAACCAAATCCTAATCGCTTCCCCATCCTCTCTTACGTCATGTCCCACCTACACTCCGCCACCCCCAAGTCCCCGGAGCACGACATAGAGTCCCCCGATCCATCGTCGTTCTCCCCAACTTCACCGCGCTACTTCGAGATGGAGTTGGTTGAACGGATGCCCCATCTCCGGCATCCCGACCTGCTTGATTCCATGGTCCGCGCCGTCTCGGACGTGGCCCAGACCCGCTCTATTCTACAGGCCCTCGGCGAACGTCCAGACCACGAAACGCTGGACGCTGCGCGCTCACAGATTGCGGACATTGACGCTGCGCTCATCCGCCAGCTTCATGAGATCGGGCTGGAGGGCGCGGAACTTGTGGAGAGGGAGAAGGAATGTGCCGTCCTCAAGCTCGACGAGATGCACGAGGCTTATGAGAAGTTGCTGAAGGAGGCTGAGGAGAGGCTTGAGAAAATATACAATTCGTCTTATGGCAGCAGTGTTCCGGTGAGGCAGGGAGACGAGGAGGAGGTAGAGCAATTGAACGAGAAGGTTGTTGCGATCTTGCAGGAGGCGTCTGTTAAGTGCTTGGAGAGGGTTGAGCTTTCGGGACAACAGCTCAGGTTTCTTCCGGAGGCCTTTGGAAGGATGAAAGGATTGATTTCCCTCAACGTCTCCAACAACCAGTTAGAGGTAGGCGTTATTTGTCAATAGGGCGATTCCATAAACCATCTTGGTTTTACCTGTTGTAACCTCTCCTTTGGTTCAGACGTCATAGCCAATCTTTTGTTTGCTTTCTGAGAGGAGTTTAGAAAATTGTTAGGTAAAAAACTGTGGGTGAGATTAATGCTCGCTATATCAATTGCACAATGATGGCCTAGTCCATGAATTTTTTGAGAACCGAGAGGTAAAAATGCTTGTTTCTATTCTTGAATTTAATGCTGTCAGTAGTAAGCAAGACAAATCATGAATTAACATAACAGACTCACTTCCATCATGAGCTTTGCTTCTATGATTCTTTGTGTTAATTGTTGCATCTTGTAACTTTCTTTTGCACTGTTCCAGTTGCTTAGGAGTTCTTTGTGGAACAACCGACCTACCGGAATTAGGTTAGGATGCTTTCAACTATGGTTCTAGGAGGCTATTTCAGTGTAATTTAGTTTGTTTTAGGTAATATGGGCTCTAGGACCAAGTTTTATATTATGGGAATGAAGAAAATGAATGGAATTTGTTATGAAAACAATGAGACCTTCAACTTTTGTGTTATAAAATGTTAGGGTTAGTTTTTTAGAAATGCGTATATTGGCTTGTCGATTTGAAATTGGTGGATTAAGACATGCCGCATGAGCTTTGATAGGTGTGTGGTGGACAAGCTTGGCAAACCAAACCTTGGACGGTTAGGTTCTATTTTTTTTTCTACTGTGAAGTCAAATATTGGTCGGAAATGAACCATCTTTTAACTTAACAAGAAGTCATCCTATACCTGGCAATTCTGATGTACCTCTAAATGCATGAAAATATGGAGGGGTGGTGTTACTCCTGACATTTATGCATGTGGTGATAGATGCACATTGTGATCTGTGTTTGAATGTTTGTAACGGTGATCACAAAATTGGAAGGTTTGGCATGCTTGGTCACTTGGATTGACCTAACACTAGGTTGGGTGAACTGTCCTCAACTCGATCTAGCTAATTCTCATCCCGGCGAATGAAAATTCAAGCGCATAGCAGGCATAAGAAGCAGCAAATTTGCTGTTGGGAGGAGCAACCCTTTGAGTGGATCTAGTGACCAAGAAAGTTAAGGCAGAGGTATGCCATGCTGGGGGTTATTACCTGTGATCCTCCTAGATGAGCCTTTGTATGAAGGTTTGTACAAAGCTATGCCTTACACTTTGCATTGATATTGACTTAATAGAGTGTTCTTTCTTTTCAAGGAGCGTATTCAACACTTGCATATTTCCGAGCAAATCCTTTTGGAACATTAATTGTATATCAAATTTTATTTACTTATTTTTTATGCAAGTACTAGGTCTTTTGACTTGCACTGTATTTACTTGAAATTCAACACATTCAGCCATCACGCTGATGTGACTTTTTATGGTAATCAGGCGGGACGTGATTGAAAAGCTCTAAACTCTTATGTTTAGAAAATAATGCTACAAGCTATGTATTATCTGAAAAAAAAACAACAACAATAAAAAAATTAAATAAATAAATAATTAAATAAAAGAAAAAGAAGGAAGTGGAGTAACTAAACTAATGGTTCACTTATTTTTACTCGATTTTCTTGAAAAATCTTGTTATGAATTGGACTAGGGATTGAAAAAGGAAATCAAATGATAAAATGCATCATTGAGTTAAAAATAAGTGTAGATTCAAAGATTTTTGTATAAATCAACCATTTGAAATGTTGGTGAATCCTTGGGCAGGAAAGAGAGAACATGAAGAAGTGGAGTGTCCTTGTAGGCATAGGAAAAAAAACAAAACTGATTCTTATTGGAGTCAGTTAAATAGGAGCAACTTAAACCTTTTAATTAGTTTACCATTAAATTAGTTTGCAGGAGAGCCATAGAAGTGTCTTTTTCTCTCCCCTCTCTCTATATGTATTCTTCTAGAAAATATAAGCTCTGTTGTTCCATTATCTTTTAGATCATCATGTTTTTCATCAGTTTCATAACTTGATATTGGGGTACATTGTGATGAATATGAAATCTACCGATCTCCTACCCACTACATGTACAACATAGAAATTTTTCCCAAAACCATGTTTTCTAATCATGGGGTTAAATTTCTTACATAGTCTTTTTGTTTTTCATAAATGGTATATTCAGTTTAATATCTTCCTTTAATTTGGACCTTTTCATCAGCACTGCCAGTTTCATATAGATTGCACCATGTTATCATAACAGAGTTCTTAGGTTATTAATGTTAACTGATGCATCTAAATCAATAAGAATCCCCAGGTTAATTTAAAATTATTAATGCTTATGGAATATGAAGGGAATGAATGTTTGTGATTTATAGCAGAAATTCTTAGGATTAAGTCCTCATGAGATAACATTAGCCTAGGCACATCCTTGAAGTAAATAATCTCTTTGAAAGGAATCCTCATCAGTTAAGTCCGGTTTATATTGGATCAAAAGCCTCTTCCATTACATGGGAAAGCATGAGGGCATTATTGATGCTTTGCATTGTTGAAGTTTCATAAGGCGAGCCAAATAAGTTGAGATAAAATATTTTAGCCCAACCACTGGTCTTGTAATTTTGCATAAAAAGGACTGCTGGCTAAACTCAAATAAGCATTTTGCAAACAATGACATGATGATCTATATACAAATTTTAGATATTTATATAGAGGGGAAAATTGTTAATTAAAAAAATTGAAATGAATACATTAATGACAATTACTATGATTTACCAAAGAAAAAGAAATAGTAAAACATAGAGATACATGATGAAATAGGATACAAAATCCTTCAGAACGTAAAGAATACAAAAAGCATCAGTTAGATTGCTTTGCTTGAAGCTTGGTGAAAATATGTGAATAGCAATAAATCTTTTTTCAATTATTGTTTTCTCCAATAAATTGATACTAAAATTTTCTGTTCATCAAAGAGTTATTACTATGGATGCTCACATTTGAGTCATAAGCTTGTTAAGCTTCTTAACCCTTATTATGCTTACATTTTAGAACGAGGTATGGTGTTTCCATAATAAATATAGTAAGATTATGGCGATGCTTAGATGCGATGTGATCGCCACATTAAAATTAGTAAGTGCAGGCATACAAAGCCTCTAAATCCAAAGAAGAATATTTAATTTATTATAAATTTTAATTGCTGATCTCTTCGAATAAAGAAAAATAAGTCTTTAGAGTGGTAGAGGGTAATATTTGGTCATTTGCCTCAAATTATTGCGCCACTCAATTAAATCTCCTTCATTTCGATGAGGCTTCAATTATTTAGAGATATTATGCCCAAAAGTTTTGCAAATAATAGATAAACATAAAGATATTATGTCCATTGAAATTTTACAAATAATAGAGAAACATAAAGACCAAGCAAGTTTTTGCGAAAATGAGAGCATATTTTCCCTGATATATGGATGGATGCTTATAAGAAGGTGATGTTGAATCTTGATGTAAAATAATGGAATCAGGAATTGATTGTTTGGTGTGGAGGAATAAAATTTTGGATCATGTTGAATTTTAATTTGGATTTTTTAAATTTAGGAATTAAGTCTTATGGCTTAGCCACTGAAAAGAAGCAACCCAATTGTGAGGTGTAGATGCTAACACATTAATGTGAGTTGTTTTTTAGTTATCTATCTTTCATGTGAGATGGGCTTTTATTTTCAAATATGTGGCTCGCAAGTACATACATATGCGTTCGTCAGCTAAAGTTTAATGTTGATTATATTGTTCACATTCTTATGAACGAGTTAGTCAAATATTGATGATATGTTGAGTTTTATGAAGATTTAAGAGGCTATTTATTTATTTAGTTTTTAAACCTTAGCTTAAGTTAACAGGTCATTTGGGTTTTATATGAATTTTTTTTCTTATGATTGATTTTAAGTTGTTTGTATATTTGGGTAGAAAATTTAAATTCATTAGAAACTAACTACATCATAAAATTTTAGGGCAATCCCAATCAAAATGAATAAATCTGAGAAAATTATATAATTTCTAGTGCAACATCTAAAGTAAACATGCAACTTGCATAAAATGAATAATAAAATTTGTAAAAGATTAAACATAGCTATATTTTGCAATACATCCCGAAAATAAAAAAATATATATAATAGACAACTTGGCTCTTCAATAATATATTGCAGACTGGTTATTTACAAAGATGACTCTTAGCACTATGGATTTTTGAGTTTTATCTTATGATATTATAGAGCTCCACAATATCATTTATCCGCCTGCTATTTCATATGCCATGCACTTACTAACTAAAATTATATTTCATAAAGGTAAAACTGCAAATTGCCCCTACAAGCTAGAGGTTAGTATAAAAAGCATGCATAAATTTATTTGTAACCTATCATCGTTTTTTGCTAAACAACATTTATCCCCTATTGGTCATATCTGCTCAGGGCATACTCAAATAAGCACTTATAGAAGCTTGTAATTTATATAGTTAATTTTTTTGCTTCTTTTGTGAGAGTTGGCATATGATTTAGCTAACCAGAATAGGCTTAAATGGTCTCACCTATGATCATAAGGTTTTGATTGAGTTTGACTTAAAAGATTTTTTTGATGATGAAGAGGAATTTCACATGATTTGGCCAATTGGAGAAGTCTAAGAGTTTCACTTAGATCTAATGTGGTTTGTGACCTAGAATGTACTAGACTAGAAATGAAAGGTTCGGATAACATCTCCTTTCCCAACAATTTTTTAGAGTGATTCGTCTTTAAGTCTAAATAATCTTGATACAGAAGCCTCTTGAGTGTGATTCTGTCGATCATTCAGATGTGGCAGCAGTGTTTGTCTTTCTCTCTTGATCCTTCTCTATCCAGGTTTCCAATCAACATGCTTTTTATGGAGTTTCTAACATTGATGGTTCTTGTTGACCTTTGAGTCATGGGAAGAATTATGGGTGTATAAAGCTGGATTTTTAGTGGTTGGTTAACTCAATTTCCTATCAGCATCAGTTTCATCCTACTCTCTACTCTCCCGACTTCAGTTA